CAGTCGGCAGGATCAACAACACCAGCCTTCTTAATTTCTACTGCTATCACCGGCCAGATTGCAAAACTGCTACTAAAGTTCCTGCATTGCGCGCTGCCTCTACGGCTGGCTATGAGACCTGCCCGGAGTTTCTAGGCCATCCCTTTCACACTTCTTGCTTCCTAGAAGCTGTTCCGCCGCACGTCCTCATGGCCCAATGCGTCACTAAGAACGTCCAGTATGGCCTCAGACAGGAGACGGAAGCTCACGAAATGCGGCAGTCTTGTTACCGGTGCAGGCTTGTATTCCAAACAAACACACACGAACAGCCACAAAGACCCCTACGACAAAGAGGAACAAGCTCAAATGCATTTATAAGTTTACATTACATGTGCTTGGACCCTGGGTGGCCTTGCAACACGCACTGGCAGAAACTTCATGAGTTCGATTGCAACAGACGACAAGTGAAGGCAGCAATTCGAGCGGAACAGGTCACAGAGGCTCCGACGGGGCTTGGACAGCTGGGCATCTCCCAGGCGCTGGGACCCTCCTCGCGGCTCTCGCTCTCGTGGCTCTCCGGCGAGGGGGCGGAGGAATAGCCGGCGAAGACCGGTGGTGATGCCGTTTCCCGGCTTGGCGGCTTCGTGGTCTGGGCCAGTTTGCGGCTTGGCTCGGACTTGGTGCCCGGCTCCTGCCAACGGCATTCGCGGACAGTTCCATCACATGCACAACATTGTGGAGCATGTCGCGTCCTTTGATGGAGCACCTGTCACAGTGCGGGCGTGCTGGCTGCTGCTCCGGCCATCGCGTTCTGGCAAAGAGCGGCGTGCCGAAGACACACTGCTGCCACTTGCACCAGGGTCTGAGCTCTGCCAATGTCTCTCCCGAGCGGTCAACGGCACGGGCGGCAAACCTGAGCTGATGTCGGAAACGAAGCAAACCCGATGGTGGCTATGCCACTGAAAGGTGTGTTAGTCAAGGAGCTTGTGGAGCCACCCTTCTGCCGCGGCGTTTGGCAGGTTGCCCGCTCTCCTTGTGCACGACGCCCAGTGCTCCGTGATGGCAGCTCTGCTGGGGGCCGCGGGGCGAAATACGAGGCCGGCGGTGCCACCTACTCTGCAAGGCTGCTACACATTCAAGTTGAAACGTCTACTGCGAACTTCGCACTTGAGATTATCCCAACAACCACCTCAGGGTAGGCACCCGTGGTCTGGTCAGACGTAGGGCTGTCCAAAACGTGGTCGTGGAAGCCTTGTGACGCACAGCTGCACATGTGCAATCCGACGCTAGGATTCGGGATCGCAGAAATCTCGGATTGCTCCTGACTCCACCCCCAGCCGTTACGCAATTGTTCCAATCCTGTGAAGAAGACCGGGCTACCCAGCGCAGCTACTGGTAGGATGTTCGTGCTGAAAAATTCGCTAGCCTTGGACAGCCATCCTTGAAATCCGACATGGCAAACTAGCAGCTGCCGACTCTTCGTGCAGGTCCAGCAGGAGGCCGTGACCGAGGCGTAAGCTTGCCATCACCTATGAGACGAGCATGCAGACAGATAGACAGATAGGTAGATAGATGGGCAAGTAAACATATCATCGAAGACATAGAGGTATACTATTTAAGCTTGTGTGCATGCGCACGTCTATATTCTATATGACTATATGCCCAGACACACACAGAAAGAGAGATACATACGTACGTACGTACGTACGTACGTACATACATACATACAGACAGACAGACAGACAGACAGACAGACAGACAGACAGACACACAGATATAATATACTATACAAAGCAATAGCTAGTGAATAAAAAGTAATAAATAAATAAATAAATACA